ATGTCATCAGGCCATTGAACACTTTGGACTCAGCTTCAAAGTAGTCCTCAGCCATTCTTTTAACGACCAAGCCAAGTTACGACGGTGGATTGCGCTTACGTCCATTGGAGTCACGTGATTCAAATTCAGGTATTTATGACCATTGCAGCATCCAATAATGGCCATTTGGGGTCTTCCCAGGCAAGGGGAAAGAAAGCCAATTGGGGGAAACCAGATTTCCAAGACAGAGTTAAGGACTGTGTGATGCGTTTAACGACGGCATCAGAATGATAATTATCGAATTGGACTCAGTTCAATTTTTCGGACTGCATTACTTAGCAATAGAAGTTCCAGTTCCAGTTGCATTTCCAGTTGTGGCGTTTCAGACACAGCCTCTCCCTGAAGTTCTTAAGAGCAGGTACAGGCAGTCCTCGATTTACAGCAATCCATTTAGGGACCATTTAAAGTTAAACCTTAGGGCCGTTTTTCACAGTTACAACTGTTGTAGCATCCCCGGGGTCACATGATCGAAATTCAGATGTTTGCCAATTGACTCATATTTATGACGGTCACAGTGTCGCAGCGGGGTCCCCTGATTCCCTTCTGACGAGCAAAGTCAGCGGGGAAACCAGATTCACTTAACAACCGTGTTACTAATTGAACAACTACAGGGATTCCCTGAACAACGGCGGCCGGAAAGATAGTAAAACTGGGGCAAAACTCGCTTAACGACTGTCTCACTGAACGATGTAAATTTTGGGCTCGATGATGGTCGTAAGTTGAGAACTGCCTGTAGATGCCTCTTCTCTGGGATTCTGGGATTTCTTGTCTGCCCTCTGCAGCGGCCACGGGATTCCCAGAAAAAGGAGCAGCTGGGATTACCCCCCAAATTCCAAAAGTGCTTTCCCAAAAGGCAACTGGACTTTCTTGGGGTTTTTTCCCCCTTGAAAACATTTCGCTTCTCACCCAAGGAGCTTCTTCAGTTCTTCGTCAACGTCCGAAGAACTGAAGAAGCTTCTTGGATGAGAAGAGAAACCTTTTTAAACCCAAGAAAGTCTAGTTTCCTTTTTGGAAAAACACCTGTGACCTGGATGATTGAGAATTCCCCCCAGGCTTGAAAATGGATCCTTCCAGCCCTTTGGAAGACGAGGTGGGTTTCAATGCCCCCTCCCCATAAAATAAATTCCCTTTCTTTTATTTCCCGGGGCAAAGGGAAACAGTGGAATAAGCAAGTCCTTGGCCCTAGGGTGGCTAAGACGCTGAGCTTGTCGATCAGAAAGGTCGGCAATTCGGCGGTTCGAATCCCTAGCGCCGCGTAGCAGAGTGAGCTCCCGTTCTTTGTCCCAGCTTCTGCCAACCTAGCAGTTCGAAAGCATATTAAAAAATGCAAGTAGAAAAATAGGAACCACCTTTGGTGGGAAGGGAAGAGCGTTCCGTGCACCTTCGGGCATTGAGTCATGCCGGCCACATGACCACGGAGATGTCTTCGGACAGTGCTGGCTCTTTAGCTTTGAAACAGAGATGAGAAGCGCCCCCTAGAGTCGGGAACGATTAGCAACATATCCAGAAGGTTGCGAGAGGCAACCGTTGAATTGTTAGCTGAAAAGCTCTGGAAAGCAAAGGAGACTTGGAAATCTGACACAGTTGGACTGCAAGTCTCATCATCCACAGCCACTGCAAAGGCTACATCTTGGCATTCAGAGAGAATGGTCGAACCCCCCCCCCCTATCAGCTGTGGTCCTAATGGACTAATGTGGTGACTGATTTAATTTGCTGATCTTCAGGAGATCCATCTCACGCTCTCTCCTCCCACCCCCATTTATCCTCGCAAAAGCAACAACCCTGCGAGGTGGAATGGCTGGGAAAGAGGGAAGTCTCCCCTCCCCCAGGAAAGGTACTTGAACCTGGATCTGCTACTAACAAGCCCCACACCTTCAGCTATCCCTCCCCAAGGGGATGGCAACACTCTAAATAAGGGGTCACCAACCTTGGCAACTTAAAAATTTGTGGACTTCAACTCCCAGAATTCCTCAGGTTTAAACCCACACAGCCCCTCCCCCTCCCCTGGCCAGATTTGATTTTACCCAGCCGCCCTTGCAAAATCAGAAAAAGGCAACNCTCACTTACTATGTGGCCACTGTAACCCTACGTATTACTGAAATATTTATTAGGAAGTTATCACTCATTTCTATGAATTGTTATACCAATCCAAATGTCTATGGTAATTTGAACAAATAGGACTTCTGTTTTCCACAGCCAAATAATATCTAAGATAGAAGTGAGGGTGAACTGAAAATAGGCAACACAGTCAATAGTATTAGGAGTTGTAATTCAGTAATATTTGAAAGACTGCATGTTTCCTGTTTTTGGTCCAATAGGATATCTGAACAGCAAATTAATATCTCCTCTAAAATGCCCCTTGTAATTTTGTCCACACTGAAGCACAGTAGAGCTTGTAATAGTAAAATATGAAAACAAATGTTATTGCTGCAAGACTTAGTATAGTATGGGTATAGTCCCCCCCACCGGCAAAGAAAAGGATTTTTAATCATTCCCAGATCAGATCCATGCCTGCATAATCTCACACCTATCCTGTTTTAATATGACATATTTCCACTTCTAACATTCTTCAATAGGTAACACACTGAATTTCTCTGCAATGATTTTGATTTATGCTATGATTTTTCTGCTGGTGCACAAAACGGAGCAAATAATGAAAGGCACCAAGGTAGCAAGATTTCATGGTATTTTTGCAGGCCCATGTAGAGAGCAAGAAAGATGACAAGAAATATGCAGTTACTGTCAGGTAAGAAAAAGGGGCTGAAACGTTTTTTGATTGCAGAAAAAACAAAACATTTGGAAATGGCTGACACAGACATTGCCATGATTCACTTGACGTTAAGAAGCAGGAAGAAGTATAGCATAATCAGACTCATGCAATTCTGTTATCAAAGTCAAATCCCAATAAAATTAGTTTTCGTCTTCCTGTGGAGTTGATTTCGTGATCTAGTATATCTAATGAGATTGACACCCAAATTGCAAGCATTCAGAAGTTTTTTTCCTTGATTATTTATTTGAATCAAATATCCAGAGAAGTAGAAACAGCAGATAAACAATCAGAGTAGAAGAAAAAATATCATAAGCAAGGAATCATCAGAAAGAAATCACACTGCAACCAACGTTTGCTGTCAAGCTGCTGCAGAGAAAAAACTGTGATCTGTGATGCACCTGAAACAGCTACATTCAGAGAATACATGAATCCACAAGATGCTTCTGGATGAAGTTTTTAAGGGACAATTACCTTGCTTTATTTATCTCCTATATCTTCCCACAATTTCGGCGTTGAAGGGCAGTCAAAACAGTCTTAAGGAAAATATGATAATATTCACAGTAGAGCGGTTTTGTTTAAGTCATGGATGAGCCATATGGCCATCCAACTGTTGTTAGATTGCAGCTTGCGTCATTCCTCACAACTTACCATGATGGCTAGAGCTGATGGGCATAAGAGTTGAACAAGATATGAATCAAAATTGCAATAGGACAATGTGTGTGTGTGTGTGTGTGTGTGTGTGTGTGTGTGTATGTGTATATATATATGAATGATATTTAACAGATCATTCCTAATGTCTCCAGTCACAAGAGGTACTTCAGAGTGTGGGATTTTCAAATCTCAAGACAAACAGGCTGGAAAACATTTATATCTTTCCAGGGGTTTCTGACTACTTCCAGTCAAATATGTAGATATTTTGTCTTTCCTTCCCATCCATTTTTTTTTCTAAGTTTGGTAAACGAATAAACATGAAAAGGGCTAGATGATTCCTAATGTAACGTAACAAGATCGGAAGCCGTTGTAAAGTAAAATGTCATGGCAATGCTACAATGAAGATCAAATGTAGAAATACCCATAATGATTTTAACTGTCTTTCGTACATGTATTTAAACTGTATTTAATACATGATATCAGGATTAAAGAAGACACATGCCATCCTTAGGGGCAGGAAGGGTTTTTTTAAAATATTTTTCTTTTTTGCATATATCCCAGTTAAGCTTGATTTCAAGAGCAAACTAAGAGCCTAATGTAAAGTGAAACGGAGAAATTTAAGAATTGGAGATCTGTGATACAGTGCTTTCTAAAATGTGGCCAGAACATTTTAAAACCAAGACACATAACATAGTATAGCAAAGGAGTAAGCTGCAATATTAAACATAATCTGACAGAAAATGCTGGAAATAGTATATGCAGAAGAATTAGTGGAAATAAAATGTTGGTGATCCACATTTAAAATAATTTGTTCTGTTCCATCTTAGAGTTACTGTGAAAGAAAAATTCTTGAGTCTATTAATCTCCGTTACCATCCCATCTGTAAGAACTTGCAAAGACAGGCTGCACATAAATTATGAATTCCAATATAACATCAAAGATTTTTAATATCAGCTATGAAGGTTTGAGCCAAACTAATGACAAGGTATTTAAGATTTGCATTTCTGTTAGATTAAAAGAAGGAGAGGGAAATAAATCCTTACCAAATGTAATGGAATACTATTGTTCATACATGCCCCTTGAAGCTTTGCTTGGCTTCCTCTTTCAGTTTAAACAGCTGTGCCTGGGGGCTGGAGCTGTGGAGCAGAATGCAATCTAAAGTTAAAAGAAAGTGTTGCTGAGGAGCAAAAGACAAAAAGAGTAGCTCATCAAATTTTAAGGATAAAAAGAAAAGTAAAACAGATCTGGCTCTTTTCCATCCCACCTGATCCAGAAAGCTGGCACAACAAATAACCCAAGGGAACATATTTCTGAAAAGTTGGAGTTGATAACATCACTTTTTAATTAGAGAAAATAATTTATCTGATCATGGACGTTATGCTTTTGGCTTGGCAAGGAATCATTTTTGCAGTGATGGGGCGGAAACAATGCACCACATTAGCTTCATATATAAACTTTAAAAGCCCACCAAGCCAAGGCACTCTTTCTAAATCAGCTTGCTTACTGGCACAGCATAGGCCATCCTTCTTGCTCAAACACTATGGCTCTCTCTGTCCTCACATCGGGTTCTTCTCGGCAGATTTCCTCCTATAGTATGGGAGGTGGAGGTGGGGGATCTGTTAGACTGTCAAGTGGCGTAGGGTTCAGTGGTGGTTCCAAGTTTGCTGGAGGTTATAGTGGAGGGGGTTATAGTGGAGGGGGTTATAGTGGAGGGAGTTATGGTGGAGGAAGCCTTGCTGGAGGATATGGTGGTGGCATGGGTGGTGGCTTTGCCAGTGGCAGTTTTGCAAGTGGCTTTGGTGGTGGCTTTGGCATGGGAGGAGGAGGAGGAGATGGAGGTCTCCTCTCAGGTGATGAGAAGCAAACCATGCAGAATCTTAATGACCGCCTTGCTAACTATTTGGGCAAAGTCCATGCTCTTGAAGAGGCAAATGCTGAGCTAGAACTCAAAATCAAGGAATGGTATGCCAAATTCAGCACTCCTGACACTGATCGAGATTACAGCAAGTATTTTAACCTCATTGAAGATCTTCGGAACCAGGCAAGTAGCTCAAATATTTTCACAAAGTATTCCAACTTCAGTTGACCCTTTTTCCAGACTCAGTAAGTTGTCAATAAATTTCCGCATCATTGAATGCTTGCAGCATTTCATTCACACTCTGTCCTACCCAGCCATTTTAAAAATAAACTTGGTTTATTGATAATTATTGTATGAAAATCAAGTTCCAGAATAGATAGATTCATTTTCATATATATATATATATATATTATATATATATATATATATTACATGTTACATGTTATATATAATATATATATATATTACATGTTACATTTTTGTTGCTAACGTAAGATTTATTTTTTAATTCTAGTTGATATTTAATGCCTGTAAACTGCCTAGAGCATATGAAAATTGAAGTGGTAGATAAACTGCATGCATCAATTGAGCACATTAAGGGCTAGGTGAAGATAGAATGAGGTCATTTATTATTCAGTCTATGGTGGGAGTCCAACTCTTGGTTTATCAATTTTGATTTAGACTTTTCAATTAAGTTATTGAAGTTAACTCCTGAACTTAAATAGGTTAGCTATCCTCATGTATGTTTTGTGTGCAAGTTGAATTTAAATAAGTTAGATAGCAAGAGTAAATATGATTCTTGTGTGTCTATGTCTCTCCGTTTGTGTGCTTGTGAGTGTGCATGTGTCCATATATCTGTGTGCATGCCTATATTTTTTATTCTTTCAATCTTAGATGCAAAGTGTTTAGAATTTTGGGGAATGAACGTATTTCTTTTAAATATTTTATTATAGATAAGTCGACATACAATTGAGAATGCTGGAATTGTATTACAAGTTGATAATGCTCGACTAGCTGCTGATGATTTCAAACTTAAGTAAGTAAAACAATTGCACTCCGGAAAGGAAAAGAAAAGAACTGGGTCTAACTTTCCCTCAACCTATTACCTATTCAGTTTTTTAAATCATCCTTGATTATAAATCCATCTGCATTCATTAAATGACGACTATAAATCATAATGAGCTGGGACAGTGCAGTGGTTGGAATGCAGAATTGCAGGCTAACTCTGCCCACTGCCAGGAGTTTGACCCTGACCAGTTGAAGGTTGACCTCTTCAAGGTTGGTAAAATGGGGAGCCAGATTGTTGGGGTCAATATGCTGACTCTGTAAACCTCTCAGAGAGCGCTGTAAAGCACCATGGAGCAATATATAAGTATAAGTGCTATTGCTAAAATGTCATTCTTCTATCAACTTTAAAGGTATGAAAATGAGTTGTTCCTACACCAAAGTGTGGAGAGTGATATTAATGGCTTACGCAGAGTCTTGGATGATTTAACCATGAGTAAATCAGATCTAGAGTTGCAGATTGAGAGCCTGAATGAGGAACTTCTCTACCTGAAGAAGAACCATGAAGAGGTGGGAGACAGGTTTTTCTAAAGTTTCTGAGATATATTTTATTGGAATATATTCCTGACATTGGCAAATGTTGGTGTTAGATTTTGACAGGAATGCTTCTCTTTTGATGAAAAGGCACAGAATTTTGTTAATTTACAAATGTCACTTTCTAGATCTTCCTGCTCATACAGACAAGTTTCTGTCCCCAGCTCTTATCCCCATTGTTGATCTCAGGAAAAGCAGGGAGATTTTGGTACTGAGTAGAATTTAGTTACAATTTGACACAAATAATTCTTTTTTTATAGCACTATCCCAAAACATTGAAACAATGGTTAAATCCATGTGCCTGAGAATGCTTAAACGCTCAGCACTTTTGCTGCAGCTGCACACACTGCTGTAAGGGAAGCTTTTCAGGTTTCTGCCTCAGGATGAAGCACTGCCCTGTGTCCAGAATTTTCTCAAACCTGGAGCTCAATCTGCCACCGGCAACACCATACCCTTGGTAGCAAATGGCTACCAAATGGGGGGGAAAGGATTTTTAGTAGGTAAAGTGCAAAGTAAATTAATGACAGACAAGTGTTTATTTCAGAAGATATCTCAGTCATCCGGGTCATGGTTGTCCCAAAGGTGCTTTTTCAAGAAGCAACTGGACTTTCTGTTTTTTATTTGAAGACATATCACTTCTCATCCAAAAATCTTCTTCAGCTTCTTGGATGAGCTGAAGAAGCTTCTTGGATGAGAAGCGAAATGTCTTTAAAGAAAAATCAGAAAGTCTAGTTGCCTCTTGAAAAAGATTTTTTTTGACAATTCAGAAAATAGTGTACAAAGACATACAGTGTTTTAATTGTCAATGTCTTTGCTTCTACACATGTTTTCAAGGGGTTTCCTTGCCAGATATTGATGCTTTTGAAAATCCTAGCTGTTGGAAGAACTACAACCAAAATAGAGTGTATAGATACTAATATGTTGCTTTGAAACTTTAAATGTATACAATGTGCTAACAATGGACAAAAGGAATGGTAGATTTTCATTCTAACCTTTTCTCCCCTTTTTTAAAAAAAAAAACCAATGAAAATTCCCTACTTTAGCTATGTCTGCCATCTAGTGGCTAAATGAAAACATTTTAAAGGAGAATAATTGTAGCACAGGGTAGAAATGAACCTCCTTGGCGCTCTCTTAAGCATTCCACATTATAATCCGACTCATATATTTATCCAAAGTTGCTTTGGTTTGCCTCTATAAATCTGTCCTTTCTTTATTCACAGCTTCTATAATTCCCATCTAATTATATATGTGGCATTATCAATAAATGGATGGATGGATGGATGGATGGATGGATGGATGGA